GCAATTAAGAATATCAATGCGATATTAAAAGAGCAAGCCACGATGAATACCAAATCAGAAGAACGCTACTAGAAAAAAAAGTGTAAATTAAAACGCATTCACAGACTACCAACAACAAAAAAAAAAACACCAGTGATTAAATATGAATACCAACGGCGACACCAAAAGAGCAAGACATAACAAATACCAAACCGGATATATGTTGCTAGAAATATAACTGCAGAACTGTAGTTAAAACACATTCACATACCACCAAACAACAGCAATTAAGAATATCAATGTGATATTAAAAGAGCAAGCCACGACGAATACCAAATTAGAAGAATGCTACTAGAAAGGAAAGTGTAAGTTAAAACACATTCACAGATTACCAACAACAACAAAAAAAAAAAAAAACACCAGTGATTAAATATGAATACCAACGGCGACACCAAAAGAGCAAGACACAATGAATACCAAATCAGATATACGTTGCTAGAAATATAACTGCGGAACTGTAGTTAAAAATACTACCAAACAACAGCAATTAAAAATATCAACGCGATATTAAAAGAGCAAGACACAATAAATACCAAATCAGAAGAATGCTACTAGAAAGGAAAAGTGTAAGTTAAAACGCATTCACAGACTATCAACGACAAAAAAAAAAAAAAAAAAAAAAACACCAGCAATTAAATATAAATACCAACGGCGACACCAAAAGAGCAAAACACAATGAATACCAAACCGGATATATGTTGCTAGAATATAAGTGTAATAGGTAAAACATATTCAAAGACTACCAAATAAAAAAAAACCTCAGCGATTAAGTATAAATACCAACAGCGACACCAAAAGGGCAAGACACAACAAATACCAAGCCGATGGACGTTACTAGAAGGATAATTGTAGTTAAAACATATTCACAAACTATTAATGATTAACGTTACTAATAAACAATACCAACAGCAACACCAAAAGGGCAAGACAACGAATACCAAGCCGGTGGACGTTACTAGAAAGATAATTGTAGTTAAAACACGTTCACAAACTACTAACGATTAACGTTACTAATGAACAATACCAACAGTGACACTAAAAGGTCAAGACATAACAAATACCAAGCCGGTGGATGTTACTAGAAAGATAATTGTAGTTAAAATACATTCAACGATTAACGTTAATGAATACCAACCACATTCACATACTATCAACAAAAAAAGTTTAAGAAATATTATCGGTTATATATTTATAATTTGATTGTGTAATAGTGATTATCATCATGTTATTCTTACGTACTGCAGTACTGTATATATATAGTATATACTGTATCGTTATATTTATATTTATTTATATATTTATTTATATAACTAAATACTTATATATTATATATAATAGCTTTTCTAGAATTTTTATATTAGCAAGTGCAGAATTACAACAATATTAGTTTTCAACACAATATTATTTCGATTGAAATAAAAAAAACTAATAATCGCTTTTACTATGTAAAGAAACTGAAATTGAATACCATTCAACAATTATGAATATTATCAGTATTATCATCGTTATAATAACTATTGTCATAATGATACATCGAAAAGGGAGTATAGTGCGGGATACCTAAAAACGGAAGTCACGTGACTTGTCCCATTTTGGCTTAATTTTTAAAAAAATCTCAAATCGCCCAAAAATCATATTTTTGCCGAACCCGAGCAGACGTTAATCACGTGACACGTCATCGATTATTCAAAATTTTCGGATTTTTTTAAAATGATCAATTTTAAAATTATACACAACATAAATTACACACTATTTATTTTAATTTATTTTATTTAATTACATACAAATATTAGTTATTTTAATAATTTATTTTATTTAATTTAAAATATTTTTTAATCACACATCAAATTTATTTATTTAATTATGCATCAATTTATTATCACGATCGATTTGTTATTAATTACGCATCAATTTATCACGATCGATTTATTTATTTAATTGATTTTTTTTTTTAATTGCGCATTAAATTTACTTCATTTATTTAATTGCAATTAAATTTTATTTATTTATCTAATCGCCATTAAATTTTTATTTATTTATTAAACAGGGCCCATTTCTCTATTTTTTTGAATAAATGAAGCCAATTTGTTTTGAGAAACTCTTCTGTGCGATTTAAATTTTTTACATGCATATTCCGCCAATTTTCCTGTCAATCCCTCACGATACAACTTCATATATCTCTACGACTTGCGAGCAAACCTTCTAATCGTAACGATGTCTACTGAATCAAGTGCTTGTGGAACAGTTTCTTGCAAGCCAATTCATGTGTAATCACAGTAATCTCTTGCATATCTCTTAGCCGCCCCCAATACATTTCGATAAAATTAAGTTCACAGTGGAACTTTGAATAAAAAATGCAGATTTGGCCGGCATCTTCGATTAATTCCACAACGGCGGACTTTTGAGCAACAAAATCTGGTTGAGAGGCCATAATCTTCCTCAAGTAACAATCTGTTCTACCTGAATCATTCTTTTTTTTACACGCCAAGCAATCCAAATTTAATCCCTCTTTAAAAAGTTCTCTTTCTTCTAACACCTTTTTTATTCCTTTTGGCTTTCCTCTCAAATCGGGATCAAAGTAATTCTCTTCAAATACCATTGTTTGCTCCCTCTGTCAACTATTAGCATCAATAAAAGTTGTTGGCCACATTATACTTTGCTTTCCTCCGGGTCCTTTGTTCATTCTTTGTACTATAAGGGCATCATCTGCAAATGCCGCATGATTCATACTGTTATCGAAGGTGAAGACAGCCGTTGCACCAGAGAACTTTGCTTCAAAAATTAGGATGGCCTTTTCTTTGATTTGTTTTAATAAATGTTCAATTGTCCAGTAATTTTCATCATTTTTACCGGGCATAAGATAACAGCGCGCTTCTGCAGGAATATCATGATGATTTCCCTTTCTTCTTCACTTAGTTGTAATCTACCACATGTTTCTGAAACAAATTCACTTACCATAATTAATTTTCCATTCCCTTTCTTACGTAATGGCATCATCTCATCATATACCCAAATTCCTCTTTTTCCATCGTATGAATAAAAGATACACTCATTGTGAGTGACAAGGATCAACTCTCGCTCGCCTACTTTAAGTACAGGTGGAACCCGTTCCATGTTTATTCCCTCATAAGTTGCCATCTGTCATTCTAAAATATTCATCTCTTCTAAAAATCTCTTCCGATATTCGACAACGTCCCTTTGTTCGTGTTCATCAAAGTACATACCCTTTTGGTATTTTTTAAACTGACAACCTAAAACATTTAACTATCTTTTAGCCATTCTTAGGCTAATTGACTTTTTTATCTCTCCCGTATGCTCGGGTAAAATAACAGAATTGACATATTGTCTAAATTGAGATGGACTAACACCATTTACCCTGGATTCTTCTTGTATCCACTGTATACATTTTAGTGCCACATCTTTATCATCAACTAACCATTTACATTTTTGATGCCGGTCACGATAGAATAGCAGAAATGATTCATTACGCAAATAAAAATTGCCAAGAAAATGGACTCTTTTACATTTATATGAGTTCAGGTTGATGTAAACTATGCTCACTGCGGCTTCACTTGCTTTCACTTTCCCATGACTATCATATAGCCATATAAAATATTCGTAAACAACCCGTCGTTCGTTATATTCTAGAGCAGTGAAAGTTCTTTCATTTTTTAAAAGCTCATCCTGAAGCTGTGCAATTACATCACCAAGCTCAAAACGTGCATCCTCACTAATATCGTCACCTCCACCACTATCATTATCATCACTTTCATTCTCATTATAGTCCAAAATTGAATGTCCCGGGAATGCAGTTAAATATATTGGTGATGTCGATGTTGAAGGTTCAAAAAAACAGGTAATTTTGGAAGTTCCTTTGGCTGCATTGGTAAGTGTATCTGGGCACCAAATTTGCGATAATAGGTTGATTTGGAAAACCCCCTTACTGTCCATACGAGAGGCACTGCAAGTAAACGTATTCGTGTTCTTTCTTCTTCATCTACACCTTCATACTCCTGATCACTAAATTCTTCCTGATTACTGCATTCCTCCTGACTACTGCATTCCTTCTGACTAAAACTACTGTATTTTTCCGAATTCTGTTCAAAATTATTCTTCTCTTTTAACATATCTGCTGTCTCTGATCTTTCTTTGGCCACTTTCTTTCTTACATTGTTATATTCACAAAGCTTTGCATGTATTTTTCTCTTAACCACGATCCATTTTTTTAAAGCGGTTTTTTTTATTTTATTTTATTTTATTTTATTTTTTAAATTCAAATAATCTCCAAATTGTCTAGTTTCGTCTCTCCTTTTCATTTTTTCTCACCTTTCATTTCTTCTCGTCTTTCGTTTCTTCTCGCCTTTCGTTTCGTCTTACCTTTCGTTTTGTTTCGCTTTTTCGTCTCGCTCACTCTTCTCTTATTGTTAAGGCATAATCATAAAAGTGTTCTGCTGCATAGTTATCGATAGTGTGCATCAATTTAATTAATTTTAATAAAGCATGTGACCAATTATTAGACAATCAAATGTAAAATACAATTTGATTAGATAATTTCAGTCACGTTATCTGTCCCATTTTCCGTCGGTCATATAAAAATGCACCTTTTTTAACCGGATTTATCTTGATAATGGGTAATTGTATTTTTAAAAAAGAGCCGCTATTTTGTAGCAAACAGGTTTGGCTACAAAATAGCGGCCACCCTTTTTTTGTAACACATCTGTATAACATTTGATAACATTTTGAAAATATTCAAATTTAGGGTTGCCTTTAGATGTTCTGCACTGTACCAGGATATGAAATATCGGAATAACAGTCAGAATAACTTTTGTATTCTTCTGAGTGTTGTCCAACATTATTTTATATTATTAAAAATAAAAGAAAATTAATAGGTAGAAAAAATTAAAAGTTTAACAAATGCGATGCATTTAACTGCTTATATCCTCAGTATTATCATTTAACTCTTACACATTATTAATTTGTTTAGACTGGGCTTCCATTCGAGATTGAATTTCTCTACTAGTAAGAGAGGTGGTTGTGATTGTAGGGTCAACCATCATATCAATTACCACAATAGCAAATTCTTGATTAAGCTTTGAATAGCGACCTCTAAATGCCTCAGTTATAATACAACGTATATATGTATCATGAGGGTTAGTATCTTTCGATAGATCAACTGGCTGCCATAGCTTAGATTTTGCTTCTAACATTGCTAAGCTGGTTTTCCATGCTAAGACATCTTGTTTAGAAGCTTTCTGCCTAGGAATATCCTCTATAGCCACTTTGCCAAAAACATTAACCATTGCTGTTTTTATTTTTCGTACATCATGGGCTCATCTAACATGATATTGTTGGCGAGCCCATAGAATAACCATCAATTAATAGTAAAATTAATATTTACAACAGAAATTAAAAAATATCATATGTCGAATTGAACAATATTTTCTCAATATTTATCTCATCCTCCTTGGGAATTTTTAATTTGAATCATTTTTTTATGAAAATTATTTTTGAGCTTATCATAGTACATATTTTTCATTACTAGATCGTCCGCATTTTTGTCATTCTCAAGCAACTCAAATATCGCATCGGCCACATCCTTCTATATTAAAGAAAAATTTTAAAGTTTAGACAAGTTAATAATTATATGTAAGACAAATAAATAAACTACATATTTACTAAAAACCATTTCCTAATTCTCCTTTGCTTTGTGTATACTCCAGGTGTTGTCATAACATCATTATCGTCATTGGTACCTATTATAATTTGAACGAGGTTCTGTACCAATTCTTCAACACGAGACATTGCATTTTTATTTTCATAAGCTAGCTCAAGGCTAGTTATTGCATATTGCATTGTCTTTTGAAGCATAAGACGATCTTCATTGGCCAAGCTTGATACTATAATAAAAATATTTAGATGTTATACAGATTTATATTTTACATAAGAGTTGGAAACTAATTACCTTTAGTAATATTATCTATATTTCCAGATGAGCGCTTTGTACTTTCGTGAGGTGACTATTGCAATTGTTTTTCATATGCCAAACTGCTTTCTAATTCACTGTTCTATAATAAATTAAAATTTTAAATATTGAATAAAAAAAAAATAATGTATTGATTAAAATTACCTTAGATAAATCACTACATTCACCAAAAGATTGGGAGAGACTTCTTGTTTGGCTATGAGGCTACAATAATTGGATATATTAAAAATTAAGTATAGGATAAATAATTAAATAGAAATTGTATTAAAGAAGGTAATATACCTTGAATATATTACTTTGCTCACTATTAAAGGATTGTTGAGCTTTTAATTGAAGTTGTGTTAGATGAGCGATTTGAGATTTTGGTGAATTATTAAATTGTAATTGAGGTGTTTGTAATGGCAATGAATGAGATGCTTTATAATAGGACTAAAAGAATTAAATATGTCAAATATGACATTGAATATAAGCATATTAATGAAATTATGCTAAAAATACCCTAGTTTGTGGAGCTTTTGCCTGCTGCGACGTTTGATTACAGGACTACAATAATGATATTTATTAGATAGAAATGTTACGCTAAAAAATTGTTAACTAAACTTACATTAGATATGTCAGACTATGACGATTGACTGCAAGAAGATAAAGAACATATTGATAATAGAGCTAGTATTTCTAAAGCATCATCTGCTAACTCCTCCTGAGGCTCATTGGGTTTATTTCTTTTCTTGTTACGACGCATGGTATCAAGAGGGTAGTAAAATGAAAAAATGATCTAAAAAAATAAAATCGTCTTTTTTAAATAATAATGTCTATTTATATTGCAAAATATTAAAACTCCGCATAGATATAAATTAAAAATCAATTGATTTGATGCTTTTTTATTTTTGTTTTTTTTTATTTTTTTATTTTTTATTTTTTTTTCTTTTTAACACGGTATTATTATTATGCTCAAGGACATTAAAGAAGGAAAGAGAAGAACCAGAGCAGATGAATGTCCAGAAGGAGAAAAAAAAGGTGTTATAATATGTCGTTATTGTCTTCAATTTTTTACACGAAGAAACTGTTATTGAAATCATTTAATTAAACATAAAGATATAATTTATAAAGACTAAAACCAACTTGAGATACTTTTAAGAGAAAATGCAATCTCAACAAATATTCAGTCTATAAAGGAGCAAATACCTCCACTAGCCATCTTTTGTAATGAAACCAATGAAGCTAATGAAGCTACAGAAACCGATAAGACTAATGAAGCTACCAAAGCCAATAAGGCCAACGAAGCTAATGAAATTACTATCGAACATACTCAACAAGGGTGGGAAGACATGAAAACATTTGAGGTATTAATTATTTAATATATATATATAGATAATTGCAATTGTTATATGTTTGGGCTGTCCAAAATAGTCCTAATTTATGTACAAATATTTTAAGCATATCAATCATATGTCATTATACATTATTATGCATTATACATAATTGTTTGTTAATATTAAAAATTTTTTAAGAGTATCCTATTCCAAGCTTCTGAATTCGCTTCATTCACTTCTTTTTTTTTATTTTGTGGCTACGGTGGGGTCAACAAACTCAATTATTAAGTTTTTTTTTTGAAACTCAGATAGTTTATCTTAGTTTTGGTTTTTTTTGAGTATTTAAAGTATTCTATATTAGAATTGTTCTTTGTTAGAAGATTTATATACTTATTCAGTACTTATTCTTATCTAATTATGCAAATTCTATATAATAGATGAACGAATTATGACAAACCGATATTAATAAAAGTTTTTCTATAATTGATGTACGCTCTGTGCAGCATTTGTGTTCAACTACTATATATCAACCTCCAATGTTTTTGCATCTAGCATATGCACGGTTTATGGAAATAGCAATGAAACATCACCTTCCATATAGCGCAGGTAATGAACTAATTGGTTGGTTTAATAATTACAAAATGGATCCAAATGTAGTTCTACTTACCAGTATAAAGCAAGGTTGTGCGTTACTAGATTCAATGAATATTCCACACATATTATATACCAAGACAGTGATCATGAAGTATAATGGCACCGAATATATATTACATTACAGACCAATTTTTGATGCAATCAAAGAACTATTAAGCAATCCTAAAATATTCAAATATTGCACGTTTAATTATACTCCAAGATTAATTACTAATAACAAGGGTAAATTAGAACATTGCTATAGAAAACAATATAGCAGAAAGTGGTGGAGTTGGGCCCAAGCATCGATTAACAAAAGCGTAAAAGTTATTTCAATTATCTTTTACTCAGATGCCATGACATGTGATACATTGAGAAAAACATCCGAACATCCTGTGTACCTAATATTAGGAAATATTCCTATCTGGCGCCACAATAAACCTGATGCTAAAGTATTGTTAGTATATTTACCAAAGTTCAAAGGTTCTGATGATCAAAAGAAAATACCCCAATTTACCCGTTCAAATGTCAGCTTTTCCATTGCTCAATGGAGATTCTTACTGAGCCAATTAAGTCAAAATCTATAAATCGCAAATGCTAGGCGATCTACCTGAACATTCGACTATGACATTAACATACAACTTTGTAAACTGCAATATGCCATGCCACTTTTGTTTAACCTCTAAAGAAGAATTTAATAATCCATTGATTAATTACAAATCTATTACTTTACGTACTCCAAAAACAATGAAACAGATAATTGAGCAATGTCAGGCCAAAGAGTATTCAATACATAATATAGAAAATTCTTTTTGGAGTCTTCCGTATGTATTGTTATTATTAAAGCTATATACTATATAACTTATAATTTAGTTTGAATAAAATAATAATGTCTACATAATAATATAATATTATATATATATATATCTTTTTAGGAATTTTAATATCTATCAATCATGCTTACCTGACCGGATGCACCATCTTGATTTAGGTTTATACAATTATCAAGTAGTATTTACACAAGACCTGTTAAGAGAATGGTGTAGTCCAGCGAGAATTACCGAATTTGATCACAGATTAGCGAAAATTCCCCGATTCATGGGTCTCAAATTGTTTAAAAAAGGTTTAAACAACATTAAACGGTTCACTGCAGCAGAGTATCAGGCAATGATGCAACAACTAGTCTTTGTAATTGATGGAATAATTATAAAGTTCTATAAAAACATCTATACTACAAATCAGGCTAAACAAATGGATAAACAACTAGTAACTTTATATGTTAATTAGAATCAAATGTATATTTTTTTACAGAAAGATAAATTCAGCGAATCAGAATTACATATATTTCAAGTATGTCGTATTTACTTTAAGTTAAATATTTATATATAGCTATACTAATTACTTAAAACATATTATATACTTTATATATATATAGTTATTAATTATGAGATGGGCTAAAGGGTTTACTAGCCTTTTTTCATCATACTCTAAGTCCAATTTACAGTTTCTGAAGTTGTATAATTTAATATATCATGTAATTCCTTCAATCAAAGAATATGGTGTGATTAACGGATTCTCCACTAAAACATACGAATCCTTGCACAAAGTATGTGTCAAAAATCCCTATCGAATGAGTAATAAGCGGGCACCAGTTGATCAAATGTTAAAAAAATGTAAATAGTTTATTTTTTAATTTGCATTTATAAATAATTTACAAAAAAAAAATAAAAAATAAAGATATTTACTTTGCTATATAGGTACAACATCAAAGCATCCTTAAATACTTGTGTCAACTAAAGAAATCAACAATAAGCAGCAACAAATTGCCTCGGTATTTATTAACCAGAAATTATGCAAAATTTGATCGTTATTTGAAGAGTTTGTAAACTCATACAAGGCAACATGTCATCCAGCTTCTGAGGTTTTGGAGGCTTTAGATTATTTTCTACCAGCATTGCATGAATTTTTAAATCTTTGTGAAAATTTAACTAGTGAAAATTTACGAGATAGATCAATAATTGTTGATTGGTACAATTCAGCTGTAAGTTCAAGTGGAGATATAATTCGGGCAATATCTGACTATTACAATAATATACAGCCTGATAATGTTTCGGTTAATATAAATACCGAAGAAGTAAATCAATATAACACTGATAATGGTGTATGTTTTGCAAAGGTATTTAATTATTATATTTTTATACAGCAAAATTTGACATTAACCTACTATTTATACTATTGTATTAGGCCCTAATTCTTTGCTCAATAAGTGTTTCAGAATTAGAAACCCCATTTAACTTGGCGCTTGTTTGTTGGTACGATTTCAAAGATCTGAATAAGTTGAAAAAACATTGCTGTCCATGGATACAACTTACAAATATTTACACTTTTATTCCAGTAGAATCTCTAATAGAATTAGTTCATATAGTGCCATGCTTTAATAGCGCAAATGAATATTTGGCTAACACTTTTATATTTTAATAGTAATATAGATTTGGTTTTTATATAAGAATTGTGTGCTGATTATACAATAGAATCGTCTATGAATTTTATAATATGCAATTTTACAATTACAGAATAACCTATATTACAATTATATTAATAAAAATTTTTCTTATTCAATTATGAATTTTTAACAATATACAAATTGGAGAATCTTTCAAACTGATAATAATACTGGTAGGGTTCCGAAGTCTTATGTTTATCCTTTTCAACAATTTCTTCATATACCAGTCAATTGCCTCACATTCATAAAATATTGATATCAATTTTAACAAAACAGTTGCTTATTTGTACTTGTTCCATAGAATTTGGTGCCGTATGACCAACGAACGTGCAAGCAGCGTGAAAGAGTTTCGGAGCTATACTACAGGATTAGGCAATATATGTTAAAGTATACTGAATATGTAGATCAAAATTGTTTGTTTATTAAGGATAAAGTGAACGACAAAATTGGATAAGCAAGAGTAAGACTTTATTTGGTTATTACTTGGTTTTTTTACTTACTTATTTATATATTCGCATTACATAATAATGACTGTATTTTTATAAATATCTTTGATACGTATAAACTTGCCAAATATATTAGCAGTATATTGGTAAAATATTGGAAGATAGTAACATACAGTATAATATTGAAATACTTTAATATTTTACTTTTGGCATTCTGAGCCTAAAAGTAAGATTTGTTTTCCAATATGCTTCTAATATACTACTGATATATAGCAGGTATTTGGCAGACTATAGGGTATATACAGTATTAAAAAACTTGTCTTATACTGTAGTATGTATCTGATATTTATTGATTTATTAATTAAAAGATCTATTTTTTTTAAATGTTTAATATTATTTTATTGTGTACGACTAGAGATATTATATTTAAAAAACTGAATATAATATTTTATTGTTTTGAACTAATTAAATATTTTGGCTTTATTTTACTATATACTATATATTTTTATATCTAATTACTTAAATTGTATTTTTATAATATATATTTAATTTAATAATTATTTAACTTGTTATTTAACTAATAAAAATATTTATTGTAATATTTAACTTGAAAGGTTAAATATTAAATATCTAGTTATATATTTTATTAATTATTATTAGATTTCAATATTTAACCTTTTAAATTAAATAACCTGTTAATTATTACTTTTTAGATTTTCTGATATACTTTTTATAGATAACAATTAAGAGTTAAATTTTCTAATAAAATTCTTTTACCTTGTATAGTGTATTAAATAAACTTAGTTTTTGGAGATATTTTTAAAACATCTGATATATATAGTCAAATATTCAAAAGTGCAATATATGTTATAAGCTACTTTTATTTGTCTCTGTATTTACTAGATTATTACAAAATAAACAAATGTCTTGTTATAGTCAAATTATTTTCTTATAGTACTAGCTAAAACATGCTAGAACAGTTTTTATTTTTGCTTTTATTTTATTTTAAAAACTAAATCTGTATTTAAAGTAAGTATTTTTTTTTAAATAAATAAAATATAAATATAAATATATTATATTATTTCGTTTTACAATTAGATGCTAGCTACAAAATTTGCACTAACAAGAATTAGAATACTAAGTACTTCTTGGAGTAAGCTATCATGACAATAATTTTATCTAATAACACTAGTGAAATTAAAGCACTTTTATCTAATACTATATGAGGGTAAGTTAGTAGAAATATATCATATTTTTTCTAAGTAAATTTTTTTAAAACTTTAAACAAGAATAATTCAACAACAACTTAATTAAATTTAATAAAAATTTTTTCAAACCAATTCAAAAAACTTGTAAAATTTATTTAAAAAAATTTTTACTAAATTTGGTTAAGTTTTGCTGATTTATTTTTGTTTAAAGATTCAAAAAAATTTCATTAAAAAAAACATAGTGCATTTCTACTGACTCACCCTTAATATTAATAATACAAAATCTTAATTTTTGGATTTAGCTTTATGAACT